GCTAGCTCAGTTCAACGGACCGGACTGGGCGATGAGTACGCTTGGGCCGGTTACAAAATCATACGATGTGTGTGTATGTATATATGTATGTATATATATGTGTGTGTGCGTGTGTGTGTGTGAAATTGAACGGTAGAGTGTGTGCATGCGTTTGGACATGTTGGTACGTGTGGTGGTAGCAAGTTCCAGTGAGATTGGTACTCCAGACATTGATGCCTGTTAAGACCCAACAAGGCCCTTTCCGACGCAAGGGCCAGCAACATCGAAGAGAGGACAAAGAGTAGCCGAGCGAGTCGCCGATGCTGTACAGGCGTTCAGCAGATTGACTCGAATAGGTTGAGTCTGCGCAACATCATTATCCCGACTGGTATCGCCTAATGCTCTGTGGCACACGAACTGAAGGGACTCGAGATGAAGGCTCGTCTGCGATGGCATTAGGATCATACGGAACCCGAGACCGGCCAACCTTCTCAGCATTCAGTCGGTCAAATGCAGATGGAATGCTGACAACGGTCAGTATATATCTCGAAACTATCAGATTTTGAATAAAAGCTGGTCACCTTAGCTCGTCTGAGATGGCGTTGGTTTGTTAGTGAAATTATTATAATTCGAAGTTTCACTTCGAAGAACCAAACCATGTAGAGCCTTCATCCATTCCACCCCCAAAAGGCATCGTCAGAGCGAGAAAACACAATTTACCCAAAACTTACCAAATATAATAAGACATGAAATAGGGTTAGTCTAATTTCCCATAATGACATGAGTAGAATTAATTGTGATATTCAGTTTCATACAGCATCATGAGACTAATTGTGGAAAATTTAGCTTTTGGCCCCAAACTACCTTAAGCAAACCAAGGTGGCGAAAGGTATATAGAAAGACTGCGTTTCGTGAGAGTACCTTTCATTTCGTTTGAAGAGGCGAGTAGAGGAGATTCGTAATTTAGTTACACCGGAAACTTTGGGGGGGATTGCCTTGAAGGTGTGATTGTAGATTTGTGCGAATAGGTCCTCGGCTCACCACTCTGCGAGCACGATGATTCCTTGCTGAGCTTTCGTCCGTCATGTAACGGACATTGTCAGAGCAGGACACCATGTCTAAATATAATTCACCAAAAACACAAAGGCAAGAAGTGTGGCCGGCGGCAAACCTACTTCCTTCTATTATTCAAGATTTGGTCCACTTATGCATCTCATGTTTTGCTTCTATATTTGCTCATAAGTTAAGTTGAATGGTTAGAGATGATGCGTGAAATGGGTTCAATTGTGACCGAACAGCTGCATCCTCCCTCAAAACATGTATGCTTTTGATCTTGCAACGTTACTGCATGTGATTTCACTGCCTTGCATGCGTTTTGTGTGAATGCATTGCTCTTGAATTGAGTGTGATGTGAGTCAAAACCAGATTCGAGCCTAATCAAGTCCCCTCCTCTGGCTCGGTGGTACTTCTCATTTCCCTCTCTCTCTCTCTCTCTCTCTCTCTTTCTCCCTCTCTCTCTATAAACCTCTCCAACAGCCACAAGTAGTTTCCGCTCAACTCCCTACACTCATTCCTTCTATTCACGGTGTTGGCTGTTTCGTTGATTTCTATCGCCTCTCCAATCTTCCGCTTACTGGTTGGTATAGTCTCCATCTCCAGCTAAGCGCTTGGCATTAGACCAATCTATCCGGTGTCCTGTACGAGCCATGTACTGGGTCAATTGCGATTTTGGAACCACAAACCCTTGCAGCCTGTTTTGTGTCCGGATACCCTCTCATGTATGGGTCTGCAGGTCTCTCCCATATAAGCTCAGCATAAGGATCCCGGTAGAGTGATCTATCCGTTGATCTAGTTTTATTCGATAAAATCCTAAAATAATTGTCAACCGGTCCTCGTGGGCAATTATTATCCACTAGAAATAACCTTAGTCTTCTCAATTGCTGGTCCCGATGCTTAGCATATGCCAAACCTCATAACTTCTATGCTAACCCCATACATGTGGTCGAAAAAGAAATTCCACGAAACTTGCATTTGTGAGTTTCTTATACACATCTACCTGAACTGGTCCCTTATTTGCTAACTAGGACATAAAGAAAAGGTAAACCACCTTCTTTTTTTTAACTCGATGGTGAATTTCGTCTTCCCATCGATACTGTCCATCAGACCAAGAAAATTCTCCAGGTTTTCTTTGCCATGTTGCCAATTGGCAAAGTGGACGCTCATATAGCGAACTAATAATTTAGCAACTAAAAGTGCCTCCTGAATGTAACGTTCCTCAAATTGAGCCATGTAATTATTTGCTGAAATTGGTGTTTGTTGTACGGGTTTACCATTAATGATAAAATATGTACAGTACATCGACATGTCGTTCAGTATCATTATTGACTCTCTACTCAACTTCGTGCTCATTGAAATATCCGCATTTTGGTCTGACGTAGATTGCAGGGCTTGTATGGCATCATCTACAGGGATGTTCGTGTTGATAGACTCAACATCAAAACATCAATATACCACTTTTTAGGGATCTGCCGGTGAGTTTTCTTGACTCATTAGCTTGAATTTTGTTGTGACGATGTTACCTCGCTTTGATGATGTCCGTGATATGACGGACGAAAGCTTAGCACCTTTCTACGGAAATCGAAGGAGATTGCCTCGGAAACAGCATCAGCATGCATCTTCCAGTAAAGCCAATCGACGGCTGGTCAAGAGGAATCGGCCGTCGTTTTCTGGTGAAACCGACCTTCGAATCTCTTCAATTAATACTTTCACTCGAAATGGAAGTAAGCTCAGCAATTATGAAACAAGAGATTCCTCGAAACCCAACTTATCTTCGTATATATTTGTTCGTACAGTATACCATTAATGATAAAATATGTACAGTACATCGATATGTCGTTCAGTATCATTATTGACCCTTTACTCAACTTCGTGCATCATCTACAGGGATGTTAATGTACATAGACTCAACATCAAAACTTACCAGCAAATCCGCACTTTGTATTTCCTGCTCGTCGATTAAGTTAACGATTTCATAATAATTCTTGACTGAAACCTTCCAAATCCAGGAGATTTGCTTTAGCTCCTTACAAATAAATCGTGACGATTTATGCATCTCCCTTCCCTTATTATTCACAATAATTCTAAGTGGCACTCCATCTTTATGTATTTTTGGCAGATCATATGCATTCGGGGGCCTAGCGTCTCGTTGAAGAAGCGTGATCATCTTCCAATTAGCAAGTTCCCCGTCTTTTACACAATACTGCAGACAACCTCTGAGTCTAGACTTAAGAGTTTCTGTAGTGTCCTTACTTAAAACTTAAAATTTGGTAGTGTCGTCCAAAGCCTGTATCATTTTCTCTACATAGCACCTCCTTAGTGGTAACGTCCAAGGTGGCTAAAGTAATTCACTCGAAATGCAGAATATTTACTTAATTAGGCGTTATTTAGTCGATTACAACTACAATTACAAATTTGCCTTGACGAAAATGTTGTATTGTTGTGACTGCACGTACGCGACTCCCTTTCAGATCCCATTCCAGGAATGAGAATGTCTGTAATTCTGGATGGGTAAGACAGATCTAAGAGCAGTTTGTTGACATCCTGAAGCCCATCCGTTTAAATGAGGATATACTTGACAAGATATCTTTATGTGGAGACTTCATTTTTTATAAAAGTGCTTGCTGAACGATAGCCGTTCCACGGTCATTTTGCTTTAATAAGATATTCAAGTTGAAGTAGTCCACGAGACCTCCTCCCTCATTTCGGACGAAAATGGGCTGAGTTTTCGTTCGTCATATTACGAACATCCTCAGAGCTGGGACTCATTGGTGCAAAAGTCTCAAGTTAATTTCAAGTTAAGAAGACTAACCGGCCCTATTCTACATACTCATAACAAAAAAAATATTTCGATACGTATTATTATACATTAGAGCCTGCTAGCCTTCTTGACTTGGTGTCAACTTGAGATTTTTTCCAGAATTAGTCCCAGCTCTGAGGAGGTTTATTATATGGTGGACGAAATCTCAGTCCAGTTTCATCTGGAGCTAGAAAGGAGGTCTTGTAGACTACGCCAATATGAAAGCCTTATTAAAGATATGAAGACCAAGATGTCGTGGCCTCTGATATGGTCGCAGTCTCCATTCGATTTACAGAAGTGGGTTGACCTCGTTGTCTCAATTTGGTCTTGTTGTCAGGGGGACTATGTAGAACTCACCTAGTCCGAAGTCTTCTGCCATAATAGTTGTCAACATTCCCAGCATCAGACAGTGGACTTAGTACCTTCCCAAACGCCTCGCAGGCATCGTAGTCGGCATCATCAGTGAGGTTTGCTATTCTCAGCCGCAGTTTACAAACTCTTCAAAGAGACAAGCCGGCAAAACGTTTTGAGAATGTACCAAGTCCACTGTTTGATACTGGGAATCATGACAACTACTATGGCGGACAACTTCGGACTAGGTGCGTTCTACTAAGTCGCCCTGACAACAAGACCAAGTTGCGATAACAAGTTCAATCCACTTCTAAAGCCTTGTTAAATTTGAAGAACAAAGGGAATCGACAGTCGTATTGCGGTGAGTTAAATCGGAAAATCTCTTCAACACGCATTTTCATATAAAATGAAAGTCTTCATAACGGAGTTAGTTCAAGAGATTAATCGAAACCCACTTTTTCTTAGTACATACATTTTGAATAAACTTGCGCTTTATAGGATGTCTAAAGTCCCTCTTCAAGAACTGGTCATGAGACCCGGCTCAAATAAGATGCATCTGTTTAATCGAAGATATGAAGATCACGATGGTGTGGTCTTTTGTGTGGTCGCAGTCTCCTTTCGTTGTATATAGGTTTCGCAACTTGAGGGGGTGAGAACGACAGCATGGAGTGCGAAAGGTTTTCATGACTGCCACACTACATCGAAATAAGCACGGTATAAATTGTAACAGTAAAGGCGTGATAAGAAGATATGGGAGAGGTGAATAGTCCGGCACAGAAGGAGAGATACCTCGACCGTTTATCACACATTTGGTCAAAGGATCGGCTTTACTTGTCTCTTTGATGAGTTGTTGTATGGTGCTAAGAATGGCGGTACTCACTGACGATGCTGGCGAAACGTTTGGGAATGTACCACGTCCATGGTTCAACTTTGGAAATGATCATTTAGACAATGGACTCCGGACTAGGTGCATTGCTCTAAGTCTTCCTACCAATATGACCAAGTTGTGAAAACGAGGTCAAACAACCTCTAAATGAATCTGTGTTCACTTTTAATCTGTCCCACAGTGAAAGACATCGTCAGAGCGAGAAAACTGAAACCGAAGAATGGGCACCTGAATTATAACTTATTCACATTTAATACCAAATAGATAATTAGGAAAAGCTAAACAAGAATTCGTCAAAGTTCCAGGACCGTTAGGCCAGGATGTCTTTGCACAATCCAACCATCTTTCCTTCGCTTTTAGATGAGATTAATTCACGAATTACGCTCAGCTAACTTTTCATTAGAGTTGAAAGTTCGAAGCATGTTGAATCATTGAAGAGAGCTCAGAAAACCAGTGTTACTTCGTATTTACAGCTTTACTTCTAGTTGGAATTGGAGGAGGTGGCTAGAACTGACTTTAGATAAAAGATATATACAGAGAAAGTATGTTTTCGAGTCTTTCAGTATAGCCAGAATACATCGAGGTACCATAGGGTGCTATA